GGGGGGGGGTTTGAATTGAGTGATCAATTATTAGACCCGGACGTCCCAACACTTGCTTCGCAAGACAAACTCAAGGTATCCCCTAAAGGGCTACCTTTCGTAATATACGCGGTGGTCACTTCGTTCGACTGTTTTCAAAACTGCATCTGGCCAAAGAAAGGAGGAAACTCCTACTGTCCCTTTCCACTTCAGCACTTGAAACACCTGTGGCCACCACCATCCTGCTCGTTTCATGTCCAGCTGCAGATGCTGGAGGAGGCCGAACGCAGGCTGCCAGGCAGACTGGTGTCGATCTGCTCCAAGTCTTTGGAGAAATTCTGCAGCAAACGGCTCGCAGGATTCCTGGTGAAAATGATGAAGTTGGAGGCCATCACGATTAGAGTCCATTGACATAAAAAATACCATGATCCATTTGGACGCCCATTGAAGACTCTTCACCAAGAAGCCAATGTTGCAAATAAACCATGGAATGGGGCAACCAGAAAAGAAATCCACCACTGGGTGCAGCTTTCCGTGATTCAGACATTAACTTCCCATCAACCACATCATTTGAACCAGTATGAAAAAGAACACGCCTGTTTCACGCGTCTCGACCCCTGCCGAAACCACAATGGCCTGTCGAAGTGGCTGGTGGAAGCCTTCACCAAGACCTTGTCGCAGAGCTCATCGTGCGCCGCGCGCGAGGCCCGGCGCGAGAAGGCGGCGATTAGCAGGGCACGGCCAAAGGTCAAAGCAGAGGCCACGAGACCCCAGAAGATCACCCCCGACATGTAGTAGGCAAGGCCTCGTTTCAAGACATGCGTCGGTGAGTGACAGGCGTATTTGGGCCTTTTTCATAGGTCTTCTACTCTGGAACAAATCGATGGAGCAGGTGGAACTTTGGGATTCTTAGGTTTGTTGGGTGACAGAGCTGAAGAATCTCTTGGGATAGGATTTGAGCTCAATTGTTCTTGATGAGATCTTCCCAATCTGTGGGACTGTGGGACTTGGATAAATGCTGGCCATCCAGAAAAACAGGTCAGACGATATCAAAGGATTCTGTTCTAGACGAATCCTTATATATCGAGTCGCCTCATCTGCAGGTGGGAACAGGATTCCTCTGAGAACAGAGACCTTCTTTACTCTTGCCGAGTGTCCACGTTGCATGGTGGTGTCTGCAGTCCAAAGACCTATGAACCACTGTTGGACAATGGTCGCAGCGTAGCTCGCCAGCACGGCGATCACAGCGGAACCCAGAAGAATTGGGCTTCGGGCGCTTCGAAAATAATGTTTGTAGAGCTGTAGGGGCACAGCTCCCAAGGCTCTTTCCTCGTCCGTGGTGACCTGTCAAGGTTGAACAACTCACGTTTCATTCAAGGGTGAGAGGCAAAATACTCGGAACACAAATTGGATCTCGAATAAACAACCCCGATGCCCTACAGTCCCTGTTGGGTTGCACAATCCTTCCCCAAGTTCCAGATAGAGGCCTGCAGTCCTTTTCGCTTCTTAGGTTGTTCCTGTGAGGTCTCCTCATCCATGTCTTCCTTCTCCACCTCCAAGGTCGAACGACTACGCCGCGAAGCCGTTCTTTCGAGAAACAAGGTCCCTACATCCACCAACGAGCCAATCTCCCTTCTCCAACTCCGTCCAACTCCCTTATCCCCCAATCCCCCAACCCCACCTGCGGTGCCAGATCCTGAGCGCGCCCCGTCTGCGCCAGCTGCTCGTAGCTCCCCACGAAGTCCACACGCAGCTCGTTGTCCACGGCTTTCATTTCGATGACGCGGTGGCAGCGCTGCAGCCAAGCGCCCGGGTCGCTGGACACGATCAGCGTGGCGTAGTTCTTCAGGGGACCATCCTCACTGACCCAGAAGAAAAAGGAAGCCCTTGAATCACTTAAGGCTTGACCTGAGAAGTACTGAGAAGGTGAAAAGAAAACGATTGAAGCTCGGAAAGGATCCAAGCAATTGTTGATGACTTCCAGGGTGACCTGAGGGTCCAGGGCAGCTGTTACATCATCCAGCACGCATGCACAAACGTCTTCCTGCACCAGGGCTTTGTACATTGCCCTGGCCAATGCAAGGCGGGCTTGTTGCCCGCCACTTAATGAAGTTCCACTTACCTCATCTTCGGCATCCGCGAAATCCACCGCTGCAACGGCCAGTGCCTTGGAGAAGGCTGCCTCATCCACTTTGGTTGGAAAGGTCACATCGCCATCCACCCAGACTCCTGCCACAACTTCCAAGAGGCTTCGGCCTTCAGGTACCCAAGGCTGCTGTGAGCAATAGGCCTCGAGACAAAGTCAACTGAGAAGCGAATACCTGCCACAATCTCAAGGAGATTCTTGATCTTCTCATGCCCCCAATCTACAACTCCCCACCATTTCCCCAAAGAAATGTTATCCGTTATCCATTTCTTCCAAGGGGCCACATGTTTGGGTGGCGCCATCAAGTCACCTGGCAGCTCGCCCAGAAAGGCTCGAAGCAAACTGGACTTCCCCGAGCCCACCGGTCCGATCACCGCGACCAGCTCTCCCTCTGCCACGCTCAAGTGCTCCGAGAGCACCAGCGAGGGCGCGGACGGAGTGGCACCGATGGGGTAGCGGCCTGCGTGGACCAAGCAGTGGGGCGGGCAAAGCAGTGATCAGAGGGCAGAAGAATGGAGAAGAACGGAGCAGTAAGATCAGACAAGGAAGTGCCTTTGCTCTGTTGGACAAGTTCAGACATTTCCCACAAGGTGTCTTGGAACGAAACACTGGAAAGGTCATAAACTTATAACCCACGTCTTTCACCATGCATTTTGTCAGCCTGCTCGACACGTCAGGAAGAGATGACTTGTTGCATCAATATACAACGTTACAAAGGAATATGTGTCTTGCTACATGATCAAGGTATGTAGATGAACCTACATTTCGGTGAGGACCCAGAACTCTGCCTGGCTTCAAAAGCAATGGCAGCTCCTTGTCCTCGGACATGGGTGGCCTCATGGGCGCTGCCTCCTCCAGCGCCAGGAACTGCGCGATCCGCGCGAGCGCAGCGCGACCCTCGGCCAGTGCATTGAGCGCGTTGGGGTAAAAGAGCAACGGGAAACGGATCTGGTTCAACAAGGACAGGGCCGTGAAAATCATCGCCGCACTGAAGCCGCCCGGCATTCCAGCAATGTAGACTAACAAGACGATGGCCTCAGAGGTTTTGGTCGAAGGGAAGAGTCGGATGGATGATCATGCTTGTTTCGTGTTTGCAGCACACTGGATGATTAAGAAGGAAAGCGAATTACATAAATGGACCAAAATCCCATTAGATCGATGATGAACACCCTAAACATGTCTAACCCACCAAAAAGAGGTATTCTCCAAGCTACGATCATGAAGGGTGGCAAAGCACTGAAGTACGAGAGCAAATAGGCCGCCACCGTGTCCCGGCGCCGCTGAGCACCCAGCTCTTCATCCCGCAGGGCGCGCACGCGGCGCTCGAAGATGTCCTCCCAGCCCATCTGCCGCAAGGCGCGGATTCCTCCCAAGATCTCGGAGGTCTTGGAGACCCTGGCAGGAAACATGGTGAAACAGTGTGAAACATGGTGAAACCCATGAACTGCAAGGAGACTTTGTTTAACTCCACCTGACCCCAAACAGCACTGGATCAGAACTGGTAACTAGTCACGTCTCCTAAGCTGACAAAGGCTTGAAAAAGAGTTATGGATTGTGTCTGTCCGGAAAACAGTCAACTAGTCCGCAACAAAAAACGGGACCCTTGGCTTCATGAACCGCTCCCACATTGACCAAATTCCAACAGCATTGCCTTGTGTCCGGCACTTCCAACACTCCTTTGCCAGCCTGGCATCACTTGCTTGAAGGCACTTCTTGTTCAGGCTGCTGAGGTCACGTTGCAGGCTGGCATTGAAGGGCAGGCCGATCAACAAGACGACGATCCCCGCAAAGCCCGCAATCCCCAGGTACCACCAAAGCAGCACGGAGTATCCAACCACTTGGAAGATTCCATCCCACAAGGTGTGGAGAGAATAGGTGAGCTCCTCGACTTTCCCACTATCCACCTGCATCAAGGTCACTGGGGGCACGTTGGCCGCGGATTCACGCAAGCGCAAGCTCTTCTCATAGATCGCGGCTTGCAGCATGGAGCGGACGCGAGTGGCCATCATGGTTGTTTGGTAGAAGAATTGGTTCTCCTAAGGTCAAACAGACAGCTTAACGGCATCAAAGGTACATCTTTGGTCATAGAGTGTGGCTAAGTCTAGGAGCTCTATGGCGGGCTTACGAGTCCACCTCAAAGAGAGACCCCATGAATACAAATTGACTTTATGTTTGAGTCCAGGAGTCTACAAAGGTCTTCAAACAGAGCACCCCAAAGAGTTGGAAGGCTGCAATCCGCCCACCACTGTAGTCCCCCAGCTTAATAGCAGTGAGCAAGGGCCCCAAGATCAAGGCAGGGAGGAATTGAACCGCCGTGTTGAGGAAGCGCAAAATGCCCGTTCTCCTCGGGACGCGAAGGGGATCTGTCGTACTCTCTTACTTGGGTAGTCTCAAATGAAAATGGTACCAAGAAAAACACACACGTCATTTAGTCACTCTTATATACTTGAATCCAAGTCTCCAAAGCCGCCAGCGATGCAGCCAAAGGAGGGACTTGCCGAGGAGTTTCCGATCGATACACGCCTTCTCTTTCGCTCCGTACTCAATGAGTTTCGAACTGAGCTCCATGGCCAACTCGGCTGCGCGCATGTCTGCCGGTGCAGGTCTCAAATCCACAATCTCCAAGGGCGGCGTCCGGTTCCCCCGGCGCATCAAGGGCGAAACCCAGGCGAAGCTCAGCAGGGAAGCCCAGGTGGGTACCTTCAACCCGCGCGTAAGCCGTGGAGGCACTGGAGCCTCGGAGTCTGAGGACCGAGACCGTGTTTTGCCCAGGCGTGTGGTCCGAGACCGAGCACGGAGGAATACTCCCAAGACAAGAGACCTCAGGCTTGCTGGAAAAGGGATGGAAACTCAGTCGCTGAAACAGGTTTTGATCAGACGTTCACCAATCTGATGTTGTGTCCCTGTGAAACAGAATGATCCGTTCTGCTAGTTGAGCCAACCCCTCTTGGATTTGTCCAAAACGAGCAATGACTCATTTGAGCACACCAAAAAGGGTTCACTCAAAGTAATGAAGCGGCCATGCCAAAGGTGAGCAGAAGCGGCCATGCGGGGCTTCGCGTCCCCATGTCGCGCCCGGCGTGCGGGTCTCCGCCGGTCTCTCCTGTGGCAAGGCCACAGGGCTTTGGCAGGGCAACGGCCATGGCACGGCGAAGGTGGCCATATGAGTAGTCATTGTGGTGGGCACCCACAGGCGCTTGCGCTCGGATTTTGGACTCAAGGCTCATGTGCTCTTCAGCTCGGAGAAACCCAGTTGAATGCATCTTGAATCCACATCTGAGTGCTGACCAACCTCCCAAAAGGCCTCGTGGTGGTAGGTTTGAAGGATACAACTGTCTTGACCCCAGTGTGTCAGCATGTATATACATTATGGAAGGTTGCGGGGGAAGGAAAAGTCACGGTGGGTTGTAGACCTGGAATTACAATAATGCACTTGTGAGCCAAACCAGCTGCGGTGTGGTGTTTCCCGAGGAACAGTCTCCAAACATTCAAGCTGACGACATCGCACTTCGAGCTTCCTGTTGCTTGAAATGTCAAAAGTCGGAGTCAAAGACGCGATTTCCACCCGTCTTCACCCCAATGCCGGCGCACCGAATGCTCAAAAACGTCACGGCTGCACATGCGCCCAGATAGCCCCAGTGCTCGGACGTCAAATCTTTCGCGTCATTGCCCCAGACCCTCAGGTCGTCGGTTGTGCTTCCGTGAGAGTCGGTGTAAGTGTAGAATCAATGCTATGATACCTACACTCACTTTTTCTCTGTAGCATGTGGAGCCTAAGGGGTGATTGTGAACACCAAGTGGAGCCTCATCGAAACTGTCAGAAAAGAAACATGACGTGAAATGTGTGAAATGTCAAAAGCAAGCAGTCAGTGCAAACAGCCATCTGGACTCCTTAAGAAACAAATAAAGATTGGATCTAGGACTGCAGCCAGTGCTCAAGTCACACCAAGTCGCAGGCTGTTTAAGATTACAGAAATACAGACTCGAACCAAGACCTGCTTTACCCAGGCGAACAAGTTGTGTCCAAGCGCGAAGCGAATCCAACCGAAGTCTCCAGAAACAACGACCCAATACAACAGGCCACAAATCCGCCTGTAGAAGTACTCTGGAAATCGGTAGGCGGTGTTGCCAGTGATCTTCGCATGACAATATGGTATATACCTCAGATTAAGCTGGCCGCACATCCAAGATTGGGGCCGAGATTGGTCAGCGAAGCAAACATGATTGTTGTAGAGGTCGCAGCAAATCAAACATGGGTGCGCTCACCCGACAGGACTGGTGTATTCTTCTTGGGATGGACTTAGAACTGCTTGGCTGCCAAATGACCCTCAACATGGATAGAGAATTAGCGTCAATCTTCATCCATGAAATAAAACACCTCCCATCATGGCACCGAGGCATGGGAGGAACATTGCAAAGCGCTGTTCGCTCCCCTTTACGCACCATCCATTCTTACGCTGATTGCCCAGTACAAGAACCACTTGTCTGGCAACTTTCGCTTTGAGACCAATAAAACCAGAACTCCTCTCCCTCATGCCTCTTCCACAACTGCAGGCGGATCAGAACTATCAGAAAAGTCACAGCACATAAAGCTGATACCCAATGAAGAAGCAACTAAGGACCTGAGCTGCCATCAATTTCTTGCTACATCAACACGAGATCTCTCGCCCAAATCAAAACATGGTTCATGCCTTTTCCATGAAAGTGCACAACAAAAAAGATAGTTTGGAGGCAAGTGTCAAACTCTCACACAAAACTTGGCTGTGAAACACTCCATTCCACAGCACCCTTTTCTCGAAAGAGTTACTGGTGGCCCCTGATTTGGTGGACTGTGGACTTACTGGAAAGATCTAGGACATTCGTTTGAAAGAGTCTCACGATGCTCCGGAAGAAATGAGGAAGAATGGGTGCTTGAAGAGCAGCTATTGGTCCATTGGTCATTGAAGAAACGTGTCTCTTGAAACCAGCTGACAGTTCTTCTCGCCCACTTTCACTTTCTCAAGCTCCCAGCAGAGAGGATGACTGTCAGGAGCCATGCAATGACATGGACTAACCTAGAGAAGTTCTTCAGACTGCACGATTGATCATTGACGACATCGGGCAAAAGGTGAATCGAACACACGTCATATGTCAAAGGAACATTTCTACATTTCTACCATTGGTCATGAAGAAACGTTTTCATGACTTATTATATATGTATTCCATGGGTTTCATTGATCTTAACATGGAACCGATGAGATGTCAAGTGTTGACTTGTTTCTTGTGCGAAACATGAAACTTATTATAACACCTTGGGATCTCCGTCTTCTCAGCGAGTGGGTTTGTTGTGCCCTTAAAATACTGAACTGAATGCATAAGCCAAAATCTTCCCTCACCACTTTGCTCTGTGCCTGATGAACCAGTTGTCAGGCACCAAGTCCTAAGATTGGAGGATCTGATCAAGTCTGACTTTACCAACTTCTCAGACATCAATGCCAGCGATCACAAGAGCCGCCTCTGGATTCACTCAATACAGTTTTTATATCCATTCGCACTTCTTTTTCGCTCCATTCGCAAAGTGCTACACACGCGCACGCACACACTGGATAAATGAACGACCAAGTTAATCCAAAAGGGCTTCACCATCACTCATGCTCATGCGCAATCGGACCTCTTCGTCCAGCTCGTCACATGGACCGTCAGTCTCTGACCTTCGAACACGCGGCCCAACTGCGAAGTGAGGCGTCTGAGCATGTCTTCAACAATCTTCCACAACTATACTAGTAACAAGGAGGCTATTAGGTGGAGGCCATCGCAAGTAGGTTGGAGGCCCTCGCGAATAGGGCCAGGAACAAGAAGCTACAGTAAGTTATATTACGATCTTCCGTCTTGCTGCTTGATCTTCCACATGTTGAGGTGCAATGCGTGTTGTGGTGCCAACACGTCATATGCTTGTGCTTCAAACCTGCTACCAGCAGTTTCAGCTTGGGAGGGTTGGTGCCACAACATGTCTTGCAGCGGCCTGGTCGCCATTGCGCCCAGCTGTATGTCAGAATCTGTATGTTGCTGAGAAAAAATCCAGAAGCCTCATGCTTTCTCATTCGGCTTTTCATCACTGAGCAACTCCAAAGAGTTTCACCGTTTCACCATGGACAAGTGATGTGCATATGTCGTCAAAATGGGAAGCTCTTCCTTTTCAACAAGTTGACCCTGTGCAGAGGCTGCAGTACAGCTGGGAAGCGTGAAATATTCTTGCGCACAACATGTCCCTCAACATGTCCCTCAACATGTCTCTTGTGACTTGAACCTGCAAAGCTATGATATGCAACGCTAGTGCATTGAAGGCCAGCAAGCCAAACCAGAATGGTGTGTCCACTGTCATAAGGCATATTATTATCAGCCTTCTAGTTCGACACAGTCAGGACTGGATCAAAAGTATTGCCAATAGCCAATAGCACATGGTGTAGGTTCCCGCTTTTATAGATCGCATTTTGTCTTGTTTCAGATGGTTCTGTGTGAGGAAACAAACTCTACAAAAACAATATCAAGTAAAATTCTCGTCGCACTGGGATCGGCAAAAGAGAAACTTGATTAAATGGAGCAACAAAGAATGTAAGCAACTCTCCTTGGATCTCCGTAAAGTTCCAAATACGTCCTACTTCCTTTCTTTCACTCTCGCCCATTGCTCCGGTATATGCCGCCTCTTGAAGCTCTATACTTCCGCAAGAGTGGCAAAGGATCATCCAATTGGATCACGAACAAAAACCCCTGACTTCGGTGTTGGTCCACTGCCAGATATCTCGATCCACACATGCCGCTTCCAGGACAAAATGACATACAAAAAAAAGTTGCTGATTGGACAGACTCTTCAAAATGTCACCACAAACCCAGCCAAACAACCTTGGTATAGGAAAAGTAGATTTGACCAAGCTCCAGTACACCACCTATCAATTGCCCTTGAGTCAGACTTGACCTTGGGGTCTTGTTCTGCCCAACTCAAACGGACTTTGGACTCTGACCTTTACTCACTTTACTCCGAATCTCCCACCAAAAGCTTGATGTCTCCCACATCGATCTCCAACGACCTCGCGATCTCCACGGGTGATCTCGGAAGGGCCTAGGGGATCTTCTGCGGCCACTGAAGATTCATCAGCAGCCGAGACGGTCTCCGATTCATGTCGATCGAAGCTGCACTCAGGGAGACGGCGCTTCAGCTGATCGAGTCCCTTCGCTGATCGAAGCTTGCGCTGATTGCTCCAAGCGATTCGCCCCCCCCCCGAGCACGTTCTGGGATTGACATAAGCCGTGGCGGACGCCTCACCTCAGTGGGTTGAATGAGTTGATGACAAACGCTCGCTAATTCTCCATAAATTCGCTTGCTTGAAATTGAAATCTGGTCCTATTGACTCGTTACTTTGCAGCCTACGCATGCTATGTTTGATGGCTGAGTATCCCTTACTAAGTGTGTGTAATCTTTAGATATACAGTAATAGTTCCATGCGATTTATAGAGCCATATTCACTCTAGGATTCTATCCAGCAGGGCTTTACCACCGCATCTTCAGCATCTTCAGAGTTTTCAGCCTGTAC